AGGGTGGGATTGCGGAGATGGACCTCCTTGCTGGGGCTCGCTGCCGTTTTTAGGCAAGGGATAGGTGCAGTCAGCATCAGGTTAATTATTAAAGGGCTGCTGCCAGAGCAGGGAGGGGAACACGGCGTTGGGTAAGGCTGTGCTTACACAGCCAGTGTCCGTCTTAGCTGCTGCCTGCCCTGGTCAGGGGAGCCCGGGCTGAGCCTGTTTGCTTAGCAGGAGGGGAAAAAGAGCACCATGTTTGCTTTGGTGTCTGTGGAGGGCAGGGCCTGGACACCAACAGGACGAGAGTCCCGGACACAGTGGGGTTTGCCCAAGCCATGCAGCAGCCCTTGGGCTGGGCATACCTGTGTCGGGGGCGGAGGTGGCTCCGTGTGTCCGGGAGCTGTGGCCAGGTGTCCATGAAGCCTCCTTGGTTGGGAGGTGGCCAGGAGCCACCCAGGAGACACTGACTCTTGCTGCAGTACCCGCCTTCCCACCCACTCTCCTCTTCTGCTCTCCTCTTCCTTGGTGTCTGGGGGCTGCCCTGGGGCACCCCTCAGGGGTCCCATCCCACCCCCAGCTCTCACAGGGCTCCCCAGACCCGGCAGAACCAGCCCTTGGGAAAGAAATGAAGAGACACAAGGGACCTTGGGGGGGTGCTCAGCACCACACAGGGCTGCTGCCCCCTCCCCATCCTGCTGACAACTCTCCCTGCGCCCATCTTGCAGGTGATGTTACTTGGCGACTCGGGCGTGGGGAAAACCTGCTTCCTGCTCCAGTTCAAAGATGGGGCCTTTCTCTCCGGGACGTTCATAGCCACCGTGGGCATAGATTTTCGGGTGAGACCACCACGTCTGCTGGCCCTTCGCCTCCCCTGACCCACATCACGGCCAAGATGATGCACTAGGAAGGGGGACGGGGAGTTTCCAGCCTCTGCACCCCAAATAATCTTGCAAATGGCAGCAGGTGCTTGCTGAAATCCTTCCACCTCTCCCTGAGAGAGTGGTAACAGATGGCAGAGCCTGCTGAGAACATTACCTCTTGCCTTTAAATCAGCAAAAAGCCTCGGTTTAGCCCATCCTGGCAGGGTGCATGGGCTGGGAGTATTGGCTGGGGCCAACAGCTCATGGGGGCAAACGCTGGTTGCTGTAACTTTGTGCCTTGAAAGAGCTGAAATGGGCTGTCCAGGAGTTGTTAGCATCACCGGATCCCATTTAAGCCCTCCTGCTGCTCTCTGTTCACCAGAATTCTGCTTCAGGACCTGGGGGTTGCACGGGCAGGCAGAGCTGTTTGCAGCACAGGGTAAAGCGGCATTTCATCAGGCGGGAAGTCACGGGACGGGCGATCCTGCTCTGGGCTCTGCCTGTGGCTGCCGACACATGTCAAGTGCGGTCGGCACTTCCTCTGCCTCTGCAGATGGTTTTCTGCCACCTTCGCTACCCAGGCTGCTCTTGGCTTGTAGGGGGGAATTTGTGGGGGTTGGTGAGCAGGAGCTGGGGGGGAGGGCTGTGGGTTTGCTTTGGAGGGGTCTTGTGGCCCATCCTTCCAATAAAGTAATGAAAGATCTGCAGTGTCCCACTGCTGGGCTCAGCCCCAGGGGTGTTGCCAGCTCCTACATATCCTCTCAGCCTCATCCAAGTGTTCCCTCCGGCAGCTCACGGCTTGCTGTGGGTAGGTGATTTCCAGAGTCTCCTAGGGCACGTTTTTGTTTTATTCAGCCCATTTTCTCAAACTTTGTCATCTCCACATGGGCTGAATTTCCATTTCAAACAATTCCAGGCAACCAAGTTATTTATAGGGGTCTTCTCTTGCAGGACTCATCCCTCCAGGTACAATTCTTTGAGTCTTAGAATAGCTCTTCGGTAACTCCTGCTTTTCTTTCTTCTGGCCTCTGGAGGGAAGTCCCTGCACTTCAGAGCTGGGTGCAGCAATTGCTTAAGCCCTGATAACTGCTTTCCCTCTTCACTTGCAAATGTCTCTTCCCCTTCCTGGTCGCTGTTTCCCAGCCTAACCCAGGACATTTCCTCCTGCTGTGCTGGTTAAAGCTATGTGCTACCTGCAACTCCCCAGGGTGGTTTGCAACCACCTTCAAGGGCTAAGCAAGGCTTCAGTCAGCACGGAAGCCTGAGTTGGACACTCAGCATCACCCACCAAGTGTCTCCAGGCAGCTTGTAGCATCTGAAGGCCTTAAATTGCTGTAAATAGCCCAAATTTTTAGTGCAGCAGTGGTTCCCCGACACATGGAGCAGAGGAATCCTGGCAGAGCGTCAGGGCTTTATGACGGGCAAACGTTATAAAATCACACCAAGAGGGTATTAATAAATGCACATTTGCATGTAGTTCATGCAAAACCTCCCCGCTTCCCCAGCTCTGCTGAACTTCCCCTGCCATGTGGGCAGAGGCTGCTGCAAGCCTGGTCTGCCGGGCCGGAGCTGGAGCAGGTTGGGGTCGCTGGGCTTTGTGGGGCAGCCTGCATCATTAGCAGGCTCATTAAGGGACTCAGGAGCCACAGGACGTGGGTGCTGGCTGTAGGAGATGTGTGAGGCACCGGCTCCAAAGCAGGCTGGGTTCTTGCTGTCCTGCTTCCATCGTTCTGCTCTTTTCCACCCTGGCACGAGGGGATGCTGCTTTGGGATGTCCCTGGGGCCACCATGCAGCATCGCAGCCCTCCAGCAGGACCAGGGTTTGTAGCAATGAAGCTTCGATGTCCGGCCCCATGGGCAGCCTGGCTTCATCCCACCGGCTGGGCGAGAGCATCCGAGGGGCCGGGGTGCGGCCAGCTCCATCACCGGGGCTGGCTGGCACCCACACCAAGGTGTGCTTTGGGCTGATGAACACACTCTCCTCTTCTGCAGAACAAAGTGGTGGCTGTGGATGGCGTGAAGGTGAAGTTGCAGGTGAGCTCTGGGACAGGGTGAGCAATTCCCAGCCAGATTGCTGGAAACCACCCCCAGGCTGAGCGCGGTGGTCTGGCGGGGCTGGGAGCCAGAGGAGCATCCCACACAGAGGGGTTCTCCTCCCCGCTCTCACTGGGGTGGCTTCTTGGCAGATCTGGGACACGGCAGGACAGGAGCGTTTCCGCAGCGTCACCCACGCCTACTACAGGGATGCCCAAGGTGGGTCTGGGGTCCGGCAGGGAGAGGGGAGACCGGCTGGAGTGCATCCCTGCAGCGGGGCAATGCCTCTGCCTCTTCCCTTCCAGCCCTGCTCCTGCTCTACGATATCACCAGCAAGATGTCCTTTGACAACATCCGCGTGAGTCCCCTCCGTGGGTCAGGAGCGGGTTTCTCCCCAGGGATCGGGGTCGTGGGTGCCCTGCGTGGCTTGCTGGGTGTTTGGGGCAGTTTCAAGCCTGTTTTACTTGTAAGTGCTGGCTGTTTTGGCCAGACCCAGCCGGCTGGGAGCACGTCCCGATCGGGGTCGTGGGTGCCCTGCGTGGCTTGCTGGGTGTTTGGGGCAGTTTCAAGCCTGTTTTACTTGTAAGTGCTGGCTGTTTTGGCCAGACCCAGCTGGCTGGGAGCGCGTCCCCGGGGGCCTGGCTGGGTGCTGCATGGCTGGGTCAGTTTTGTTTCGGGACACAGTTAATGGTTGGGGGGAGAAAACATGGTTTGGGATGGATGTGAACTACGTGTGGGCTTGGGCTGTAGTCAGGAGGCGGCGCATTTTCAGGACTCTTTAGCTGTGATGCTGGAATGGTTCCCATACCAAAAAAAAAGTTGTTTTCCCTGTCCTCATGGAGGGGTGTGAGGCCTGAGAGGGGAGGGTCAGGGGTACCGCTCCCCCCCCCCTGCTGCCCCACAGGCCTGGCTGACGGAGATCCACGAGTACGCCCAGAAGGATGTGGTCATCATGCTGCTGGGCAATAAGGTGTGTGCACGGTCCCCCGTCACCCCGTGGTTTGCCGTGCTGTGCTGTTCCTGTGGCTGTGGAGGGGGGGGGGTCGGC